TTTCTATCACTTTTTGTCGCATACGCGTTTCAACGAAAAGGCTGAGAAGGCTTCAAACAGTGTGCACGCTCCTTCTCGCCGACACGCCCCTATCAAGTGCAAGGATGACGACTGAGAACATATGCTCCACAGGAGCTAACCTATTACAAAATGACCCTATTGGAGATAGATTAATTAAATTGTTGTGACAGTGAAAGACCAGATTTCATGGCACAGCCAACTTCATAAACATGCTTCGAGGTTCTTTGCCTTATTACGTGAATTTGCTCTTCTCGTAGTAAGGCAAAGAAAGTCATGACACTATTACACATCGATGCATGTCCGCCTTAGAGGAGGCATTTTTCATTTTTGCTGATTCCTCTTGGTAGATCATGTTATCTGATAGTCAGACCTGAAAACTGACGTGAAACTGTCAAGTAATTCTAATTTGGTCACAGAGGTTTACACGTCTTCACAGGGCAACCTGTGTAAGTTTACCTGAGTACCATTAGGTGCCCACACCAAGCCCAATGAAGCCTGCGACATCAGCCTGCCAGTATTACAAGCCCTACACCATTTGAGAAATCGTTGTATTTACATAATTAAAAAAACTTGTTCTCAAAATAGTCCGTTTCGTAGGTTTTCTTGACTGTAAGTTTCATAGATGCACCCGTTTTATTTCTGTATCAATATTTACCCACCTTGCCCTAATACATCACTCAGACTCTCTACGCTAACGCCGGTCCGTCAACGATGGCTGCACTGATGCCTGGCTATGGCAGTGCTGCTCCATGGTCACTGCCAACGATCAACTCATTCTCAGATCAAGATACTACCTCTCTCTACACATATAATGGAGCCGTATGATTCGGATTGTCATCGGTAAAAAAAATGTCGAAAAGGGACAAGCTCAGACTTTCCCCTAAGATTTGGTTTCTGTTCTTCTTACATTTCTCCTGTTGTTTTAACCCGGTAATTCAGAGAACGCTAATAATTACACTTTGCTCCCCAATAAAAGCCTTGATGGGAATAACCCCTTCATAGCAGAACTTGACATTTGTTGCTGTTATTTAAATAAACTTCTTAAATTTATATGCTATTTGGGATGCCGAGATTAGTTTTCTCTCTTACTTAGTAGTTTTATTATAGGAGAAAAGGAGAAAAAGGAGAAAAAAATAAGAAGTCACTCACGCCAACATAATTTTTGACCATGTCCTGACATGAAGAAAGCGAATCCTAAAAAATAGTTGTCTGAACTAACGAAATAAATCAACATCCTGAACGTTAGAGAAAAGGATTCGGAGGAAACACATGTTTGTAACACTGGGACAAAGGTGGTTTAGGGCTGCGCGGCAGCGTACAGCTCGCCCTATCACCAGTGCGCGCTGTGCTGGGATCCCAAATGAAAGAGGTCCTATCCGCTTTTAAGGAAAAAATTCTCGGTTATTGACTTTTTTCCCTTTTCCCCGCTTCAAGTGCACTAGGTACTCGGTTATTGACTTTTTTCCCTTTTCCCCGCTTCAAGTTCACTAGGTACCCCCTCACCTCCCACCCCACCCCCACGGCGGTTTTTGGAAGAAAACTGAAAAAACGGGGGAGGGGGGGGGAATTTTGGTAAAAACTCTAGAAATACGGTAGGAAGCTCTGGAAACTCTGGAAATACGGTAGAAGGTCAAGGGAGATGGTAGGTAGAATGGGGAATTGGAAAGCTGAAGAGAGCACTTTTAAGGGTGAGGGGGGGGGGAATTGCAAAAATGTTCCCTAACGACAGGTGTGCCCTGTTTTCACCAGAAAGAAGTGGCTGCGTATTCCACTCGCCGACTCTCTTCCCACAAACACAAATCTCTGGCTCTTTTTCGTTTGTACCCTCGCCGCTCTCGCAGCCACGCCCCTTGTTGCCGTCAGGTTCAGACTGCATATATGCTCATCTTGTGAAAAATGAGTCAGACAAGGCAATGCGAGTGGACCCCCTATACCTTGCAGCTACCTTTGTCCCTCCCATAATGTCAGTATAACACGACCAACACATTTGTGCAAGAAACAATTTGCAACGCGCGATTACTCAGGGGAAAACAGTGTAAAATAAAAAAAATAAAAATCATTCTAGAAAAGAAATTGAAAAAAGCATTAAACGAAAGTAGGGAGCCGTGCATTGAAACCAATGCATACGGCTTTCAGTGTGCTAAATGCCTGTGTTGAGCTCACAAAATACACACCCCTCACCTTCAATGCAACCACTTCCTTGTGACAAGCCTGGATTGACTCCTCTTTTCTAAGGATGACTAGCTGTAAAGAAAAAAAGTTTTAAACTGGAAACCTGGTAGAATGAGCGCTTTTCCAGTAAGGTACGACATTTAATGCTGAGTCAAGAAACAATGTAAACCATTCTAAGCCAAAAAGGACGAGAATTCTGATGAAGTTTTGGAGGGGAAGAAGCGAAAAAGCATCTAAGTGATTCATTTTACTGGAATAGCGCTCAGTGGGCTGAACGGATTCCAAGACCAAATGGAACAAAGGAATTGAAACTGGTTTGATGTAAAATTCCAAAGATAACGATTGCGAAGTAAGCTTGAGAGCAACTAAGAATGAAAACTACTCACGTTCAAACTAGCGTTGATAGATTTCAGAGTATTTACTTCTCCTGAAACAAGTCCGATATTGTATGACACAGGAAGGCAAGCAACTCGAACTCCAGTATGAGCAAAGGGACGAAAAATAGGGTCAAATCCGGGCCTTGATCCTACCATGACTCCAAATTGATCAGTTCGTTCCCTATGCTGCCTTAGAGCGCGTTCAGACTTCGTGATCGCGCAAGCGGATCGCGCGATTGGGATTTCAGCGGGGCGGCGTTCATGTTTGTTCATGTTTAATGTTTCTGTTCTTTCTTTTCCTTTCCTTCTTCCTTTCCTTTCTGTGCATAACGCCTTGAGTTTTTAGAAACGTTTGAAGTTGCCTTTCGATCTTTTTTCAGATTCGGAATTTCGCAACCGGCTTCATTTCGGCAGACTGGGAATAGTTCAATAGTGCCCATTTTTCTTTTTATGAATGCACTTGTTTAATCGGGTTCCAATGGCACTCATCAAAATAGTCCGCGCTTGGGTCAGTATTTCTCATGACATTGCAGTGGAGTCTTTAGACATTACTGAGGCATTTTGTTGAAGCATTTCCCAGATGAAAATGTCACGAGACTTCCCCGAAAACTGATTAAATTGGTAGAACAAAATAGTTGTGCATGTTTTCTCCTTCACAGGTCACGCAGTCGTGCCGTCTCTGTAACTAAACAGATCTTTATTTGATCGAAAATTGTTTGTTCGCCTACTGAAGTTACCGCTCTGTTTGAATATCACCCATCCCAATCGCGCGATCGCGAAGTCTGAACGCGCTCTTGGACCGCGTTCACATTTTGCTACTCAAGCGATTCTGGCGCGCGACTGCGACAGACCGCGTTCCACCGCTAACTGTGTGTATGGGAGGGGGGGGGGGAAGCTGGAAATGGCTGTTAGCCTGACTGTTATTAAATTAGCAATTGCAGCGGTCCAGCTATTAGTGCTGGAGCATGGTCAGTTGTAGTGGTGTGATTTCCAAATGACGCGAACGAGTGGCTCGAGTCCCAATTATGAACGGTCTCCCTGCAGGAGTTATGTTTTGAGATTTTCTTGCACAAAACCGGCGACCTGAGTCACGCGGTAAAGCAGGACCTTGTACCGGACGACAGAAGATCTGCGAGCGCGATTTCCACAGCTTTTTCGTTTCTTTGCTCGAACAGCGGCTTTTAAGTCGTTTTTCTCAGTACTACCGCCGAGGGGGCGCTCGACTCTAACAAGGGAGGTCGTTCAGGGGTGCGCTTTTCGAAAACGGTTTTTTGCATATTGTAGGGGCTCATGCAAGGACCTGAAAAGTGTGCTTCATTTTCGCTGCGCGCTTCCAGGAAAGGTAAAAAACGAGTGAAAAGAAATCTTTGGAATCTGCTTCGTTCTGGGCCTCTATACGGCGTAGGTCACTTGCAACTTTGACCAGTTGCTGAGTGGGGGGTCCTTATAAAGGGGCTATTTGAATCGAAGCGAAAAATCGCCGCAAGTGAGCTTCCCAACTTGGGTCATGTGCTCAAGGGTGAACGGCTTCTTGCAATGGTTTCATCAACGATAAGAGCGCTAGCATAGTCGAGCATCGGATGGCCTAGCGGATAGAGTGGAGGTTTCGCAATCGGACAGTGAGGGTGGGGTTGATGGTTCGGCTCCCTTTGCGTCGTGGCTTTTTGCATTTTTTAGATTTCGCTGTTCTCGCTTCCATTAGTGTCTGCGCATGAATATAACTCGGATATTTGCCATTTATGGGCACATTCTGAGTAGCTGTACCTCATGAGTCAGTGCTATTCAACTATTTCGATTTTCACGCACCATTGAACAAGATTGTTGCTGGACGTTGATCCTCATAGGCTATACAGTGGATCTGATTGCGAATTTAGTAACTTCTGGTGTGGTGTCAATTATAGACAATTTGGGGCCACATCTTCTTTCCACTGAATTCGTTATGTGCATCAATATAGGGAACGTTCAGCGCTATTCTGTTACCAAATTGCGTGGACATTTGTGAACAGGGCCACTGATTACCACTAAAAACGAATTTTCGGTCAAAACAGTGACCTTCTTGGGTTTGCTTATTGGGTTGTCCGGGGTCCGTAGCGTCAACGATACGTCATCGCTGTTACGAAGATGTGAGACTCCGCTCACACTGCCGACCAAATGGTCGGTCACCTACAACCCGAAAAAGTCAAAAAAATTTTTCGCTCAAAACTTGCTCCTAGGGGTAATCGACAGTCCTGATCACGATTCTAGACTTTATTTTCGGTTCCAGTGCCATCTGGCACCGGCATAGCGCCGAAGAGCTGAGTCTGTGCATACTAACGAATTCGAACGAAAAAGCAGATTATTCATTAAATTTTACCTTGAAGTCGGTTGAGTAGCATAGTTTCGGGTGAATCTGGATGAGGAATCTGATCGCGTTTGCCGCTACGGCACTGATCAAGCTCAGCCTGCAAAATACAAGAAAAAGGGTACAAAAATGAAATTCTAGGAATTAAACCCCGACAACAAAATACCACTACATCGCAGCTCTTCTGCTTCGAGCTATGAAAATTACCCCTGGGAATAACAACAGCAAAGAGGCATTTGACAGCTTCAACTAAAAACCACATTAAAACTGCTAACCGTGATGGATGTTAGGTTCTCCTCACATAGCTGCCATAACCGTTCAGCAACTAAACGACATCAATTAGACAGCAAAACGAAACATTTTGCGGCGTAGTTCGGCAACGGGAGGGGGGCATTTTGCACTTTTCTACTTCCCACCGTCGTGTTCATCAGTTTACAGCGGTTGATAGGTATTCTTTACAGAGGCTGACAAGTAGTCTTTACGAACTTCGACACGTACTTCGTGGCATCACATGATTTCACAGGTCTCCACTTGATAGCTCCACTGGTCGCTAGGAAAAAGCTAATGTGCGAATTCCCCCCCCCCCGTGCCGAATTGCGCCGAAGATTTATTTAGAAAAAACTATCGAAAAAGGAAATCTGATTTAGGCGTACCTCTGCGTTTCCCTTGACTAGACACCCGTTTAGAGTTGAAAAGCTTTTCCATCTTGATTTTATGGTCATAGATGACTGGAAAGAAGCCAACAGTGAACAGGAACAAATAACAGCAGGATCAAACAAACTATCCTTATCAAATACTCCAAAAAGTGAACACAAAAATACCTCGCAATTTTGCCACCAAACTTTCAGCATAGTTCTGGCACAACGTTAAATCATTTCCTGAAATCACGTTATAAGCAGTACAAAAACCAATTGGGAATTCCTCCCACATCGAAAAAAGGCTTCCCCGGGGATTTTTCAGTCTTTTCCACCAGATTTTGCGAATCACCCGGGGATCTTCACGACTCATACACGACTCCGTTTAAGAATCGAAAAATTTGTGGGAAAGGAATATACACACTCGTTATCCCTGTAAAAGAGGGATCATGTTAAGAGGCGTGGATTGAAGCCTGATCAGCCTTTTCCACCGGCTGTTGCGAATTCAGGATGGCATGAATTGATGGAAAAGCCGTCCTGCTCGCGCTCCCGTCGGTGACTCCTCACACATCCTTTCATTTGCAAGTTCAAAGACAGCCCCCGCGCTCGAGTAGTACATGGTCGTCCTTCCTTGTGCAAGTAGTACAGCCCCCAAGCTAGAGACTATCCCACTCGACTCCACAGCGAGCGAGGAGCGAGCTACAGCCGCTGAAAGTTCTAGTTCTAACGCCCGCTCAGTTGGACCGCCCACTTGCTAAATGCTCTCCGACTAGGTCCATGAATTATTCTGCTCTCCTTTATTACATTTTATTAATCAGGAGCACATACAGTCAACTCCAACACCATCTCGCAAGGTAAAACGCGTAAAAATCACGAGCGACCCAATTTTCGTGGTGCAAAAGCTCGACGCACTTCACTACACTAAAATATGCACGCTACCGTAACCCTAAATTCGGACGCCGGCTTTTTAAATGTTTCTTTTTCTTTTCAAGAGTTTTTCCTCTATGTTTTTGTTGTTTTTGTATTCTTTTCTTCGCATTGGATGATATCCACTACTGGGAGATGTGATAAAGGGATTTGTGAGCCAGGGGTTGCACAGAGACCGCAAGGAGGTGACTGTCAGGGAGCGATTTTGTTTATGGTGTTCTTGAGGACTCTTCTTGCTTTTTTTTCTGGGGAATTACTTATCAGCTACTGTTTCATAATTGAACATCAACTATCCATGACACTTTTATCGCCGGAGCTGTCTTTAATAACTGTACGTGTGGCAGAAAACCGTCACTCAAATCGGAAAAGTGTAATGCCAGAAAAGCACTCAATCGGGGAAAAATGGCGCTATCATACCAGAAGAGCGGACTTCTCTACCGAGCGAGGTAGACGATAACGGGGAAGATAAAGAATAAGAAATTGTGAATTTGAAGAAGAAAGGTGTGAACAAGTCCGAAGTTGGGCTAACACACCGTTCTCCCCCCCCCCCCTCCCCCACCCCTTCCCGCACCTATCCTATTTGTCCGTTGACCTCGATAAGTAACGGAAAAGTAGAAAAAAGCACGACAATCGTTCAAAATAAAGAACGTCATTATCTGAGCTGAAAAACTGTTCCCTTGTGCACGGTGGCCCGGTGCTCAACTGCTAAAGATGTACCACTCTCGAGGCTCAAAAGTGCTCGATAAGAACGCAGGTCTATCGCGATAGTCGGGCCCCGCCCACGGAAGTCAGCCCTTCCCCTTTTGTCCCATTTCGAAATGGCCATCTCTTCTATGTATGTCTTTCGCGCGCTTGGAATTTCTTAGCCGTGCTGCGCTTGAACCAACGGACGGAAACAGAAGAAAAAACAGAAAATTGTGAAAAAAACAAAACATTACCTGCTTTCTCTATAATCAAAAAGAGATCATTATTATGCCGCCATTGGGAATAGAGAATATATACAAGCAATACCGCTATAATAAACCGATACTTGAGGCCAGCACTCACTACCGCCCCATGGAGGAATGGCATCTGATTGTTTGAGGTACGTCGACGTTTCGACGACCTATAAATAGTGATGACTGAACACACAGGACGTTATCCGTCACGTGCTTTGATTGCCCTAATTTTGCGATTTCCGCGACTGTACGGCTATTCGCCAGATTCTCGTAAAATATCAAAAAATGTACGCTACAAAAATATCTCGTATGCGTGAATTCAATCGTATTTCCAAAGGAAAAAAGGATTCGAAGAAGTCACATAGGATATTCTTATAACAAAATATTATGGGAGAGTGTAATGAGAGATATGCGTTTCGAAAACGCTATGAACCTCGCATAGTATTTCCTAGTTAGTTGAGCTGAGGGTCTACGGACAGCTAAAACTCAATCCCTTTAATGGCGCCAACTTTCTTCTTTTCTCTGCGCTCTCTTGCCTGGATGGCGATTTATGGCCACTTTGAACTTTCACATTCCAACTTTTCACGCATAGTAGGTGGCTCATCCACCCCGATATCCCTTCCCCTCGAAAAAAGTCATCTCCTGGCTTCGATTCGTGTGTTTGTATCCTCATCATGGCCTTGGCAGTGCATTCCCTTATTGCTCTGCGCTCTGGCCTATCGTGGTAGGACCCCCACCAAAAGTTTTAGTTGTCACGTAACCCACTGCAGACGTAAACCAATTAGTCCTGGTGCGAATGCCGCGCACGTGACGCCATTTGCAACGCTACCATCGCCTGAGGGACATGACAATCGTAATTTGTCGCTTCGTCGCATGCAGCGGAGCGTGGCGTATCCGCTATGTAAAAGTTGAGAGTTGACTGGAGTCGCGAAATTCGTCTGGAATCAAGCGACAGAGACACTTCATTGTGTGCGATAACTCGAGCGGCCGAACAGAACAACTCGTCCGCCTTATGCGGCGTCGCCTTCCACGCTCACCAGCACGGCACATTACGATTGTCGCATATCCTTTCGTAGATACCCAGGATCACAACCTTTTTGGACATCTTCAAAATTAAGGACAAATCCCAGGGAAAGCATTTCACTCACCTAAATGAGGAAAGGAAGTGAAAAAAGGAGCTAATGTAGTTGGCTATGATCTCTGTCCCAAAAAGGCTTAGGCCTAGAGCGCAGACGACCAGAGTTGCAGACAAGAGATATTCCTCACTAAGCCTGAGCCTATATCAGAGGAAGGGATACGAGGTGCTGGCAAGTGGTCCCTCCGCCGACCCCTCCCCTCCAACTAAACACTTGAAAATAATCTCTTTGTAGGATAATCAGAGCATGCCAGTATTGTAAAAGGAAACAAACAGCCCGATAATTGCAACCCCAAAATGTCAATTTTTTGCTTAAACTAATCAATCACGAATACGACACGTTGACATTCTTTGTTTGGCACCGCTACGAAAATGAAACGAATTTGGTGGAAAATACGGATTCCAGATTGGTGTCAGCGCCACGTGGCGCCATTTTAACGTAAACGTTAAAATTTTCCAAAAGGAAAATCACAACTTATAATACACTTGGTTATCTAAGAAATGAGGTGCACTTCGAGAGGATATAGCTCTGTTAGTTATAGATGAGCATAAGGGTTGACAGAAAGATTCAGCGAAAAAAGGTAGAATGGTGTAAAAACAAGAAATAGTGAGCAAAAGGCTATAACTGCTGGCGAGACAGAGAACTGAGGAATGAACGAAAACTCCAACGTCAGCGGAAAACTGAAGGTGCTATTTAAATATGGTAGGGCATTTTGGTGCAAACACCCAATACATTTAATATCACGACAAACATTCCCGGGGCTAGTGGGATGAGATATGATTGTTTCGTAAAGTTTTGACATGCCGCGTCATTTTGTGAACATTTGTGAACTCCTATAAAACCGCGACGTCACGAGATTCGTCATTTCTGCGATTTACGACGAGGTTTTGTCCTGGGAGGTGCCAAGGAACGACTGTGAGCCGCGAAAGAGGATCTTGCCTAAGCCTGGGGGAGGGGGGGAGGGGCTTCGAGTGGGTGAATAAACCCCTCTAATGGTGAACAAAGGAGTTTTCGTATCAAACAAGCAGATATGTGGATAAAAGTCTTACTGGACGTTTCATTGAAAGAAAATAGCAGTTGCGGGTTTGGGTATCTTGAGTGCTGCTGTGCCCTCAAAGGCTCCGCCCCTCAAAGGAGCAGCGCCGCGGTCTGTCTCATCATTCCCGCTTTCGACTTTCACTACTGGCCTAGTTTTCTTGGCGCTGACGTAACTGGGGGACCACTCGGCATATCCTTCCTCCAAAGCGGCTCAGGCTCAGAGCGGAGACGGCCAGAGTCGCCGGGGATAGCTTGGCAGAGAAGTCATAGTCTTCCCTAACCTCAACCCTGGTTAGGGGAGTGGATATGGAGACGCTGGCGAGTGCCCCCCACACCCCACTACGTCAGCGCCATTCTCTTTCTTCCTTGTACTCTATCGTGATTCACTCTTTCCATCCAATATTCATTCCCGTGAGAACGGCCAATACTCTTGAGGGTCGCATTGAAAAGGAGCACCCTATTACCGACGGTAGAAATTTCGAAGCATGTCGGTTGGCCAAAGGGTTTGAAGAACCCAAATGATCAACGTCATCTCAAACACCCCCTTTGCACAAAAAATTGGGGTAACAGCTCAGTTGAGGGGGGGTGCCTCTATTTCCCTTCACACAGCGACGTGGCTCCCCCTCCGCCTCCCCTCTCGTCTAGATTCCCTTGGCGTCGAAACTAGTACCCTACTTGGGGCGTAGGGGGAAATCCTCAGATACATTGCGGCATTACAAGATTTTGCACAAAGATCCTCTTAGCGCCCCTCCCCTCCCTTCTGGACGAGTTGCGCTGGAACTTCCTTTCACCGTGATTCATTAGAACCTTTCCCAGTCTGAAATGAGGGGTCCTAAGACCTGGTAAATAGGAGAGAATCGGTGGTTCATTCATCTGAAGGAGGGGGGGGGGGCAGAGCCCTATTTTGCGCCTCGTACATCAAAAGCTGCCGCTATTTGTGTAAGGGGGGGGGGCATTCCGGCTCAAATCATCTTGTACATCTAGAACTACAACAACAGACGCCAGTAGAATGACGATAGTCCCCAGACCTACGAGGGGAAAGCGCTCTACGGCCGAACAAGTTCTTTTGTGCAAAGGTGGGTTTCACGGACTATTGCACTGAAATGCGGCTAATGCCGTTTGGACTCCAAATTTCGGCACCGAGCTCATTTTTAAATTGCCTAAGTCACCAAATCCGCTAAAAACTTGTATATAGGGGTAGTTTAACATCCTGATTACGAATATGACATTCACTCTTGCCGCTGGCGCTAATGGATGACACTACGATTATCTGCGCTCCGCTAAGGCTGAGCCCAAGAGGTAATCGTAGTGTCATCCCTTGGCGCCAGCGCCAAGAATGAGTGTCATAATTGTAATCACGATGGTAAATAACCCTTGTGTACATGTTTTCAGCGGGTTTGGTGACTTAGGCAATTTAAAATGAGCTCGGTGCCGAAATTGCTGGAGTCCAAACGGCATTAGCCCTGAAATGCCCCTCTAAAGGAAAGCGAATTTTCCCACCGTCATCTAAAGACAAGATGAACCACACTGACAAAATCCACACAGAAACCGGTCCATAATTACTCGTAATGTGACTGGCCTTTTAGGAGAGGGGAGGGTGGAGAAGGTGGGTGACCCACTTTATCCCGATCCTCACACCTTTCACCAGTTCTAGCCAAGCTATTGTTCAAGTAATAGTTCAAATTCGCATTTATTCTTTCAATTTAAATTTATGGGGTCATGATAAACGGGTATGTGACAAGACAGTTGTAATTCGCACTGCTGATGTCGCGTGCGACGTCGCGCCGACAAAGGACGATGTTTCTAGGTCCCAGATGGGGACAATATGCAATTCATGACCTAAAGTAGCAATAACTAATCAACAAACCAGCGCAAATTACGAAAACACCTGGTCCATCGCCGCGCGCGACGGAACGGCAAACTACGATTGTCTTGACAGTTTCTCACGACAACCGATTCGTCCCGGGCTCTCCTACCCTTTGAAAAATTTATGAAATTATAGGAATATACAAAACTTGCAGACTGACCTACAGTCACGCTGTCTCCCATCCCTGAGTCAATCCAGTGGTGGTTTCCGATGAGATTTTCATGAAATTACATTTTTGCGTTCAAAATGCCTTTGAAATTATTTAAAAGAATTCCTAGCCGATAGTGACTGAAGCAGTTCAGCGGTGCGAAGCGCCAAACAAAATTTTGAGGCTGCGTATTAATTAACTACCCGTAAAATATGGTCCCATAAAGAAAAGAAAACAGTAAAATCAAATGTACGCGACGTTTTAGGCAGTAGTAACTGGTAGTTAACAAGTATGTGGGGGATTGTGATCGAACACAGTTCTCCGGGGAAAGCGGCGCTGTTCGTCGCCGTTGATCACGTCGGTCGACGACATCAAGGTGGTCCAGCGACTGGTCCAGGGACAGGGAGCGCGACGCTTGTGTGGGAGTAGAGGAGCGTCGCGTATGCGACGACGTGAAATCCCACACGAATTGAAGAGAAGCCGAGCGCTTGACGGAGTGCGAGAACAACGGCGATTCCCACTGGAGGCTCGGAGGGGGCAGACATTCGTCGTCGTATCGCCGCTGACGAAAACCATCGTCATCACGACGTACACGTACAAACACTCCTCGTCCCAAACTACGCATCATCAAGGAGTTTCACCGATCACTGCATGTTCCCAAGGAGATCCTCATCTCCCGGTGAACATCTCCTCCCACAGCGAATCGATCGATCATTATCCCCACATTGGAGATGGATCGATTATCGTGCGCTACCCGCTCACACACACTCTCTTGCACAGCACGTGACGTCGCCCTAGTCGTTTCATGTGCTTCCTGAATCGACTTGAATAAATTCTCCCAAGTGGACGTCATCGACTTTCTCACTCGTCAACCCCTATCCCTATCGATCCACCGTTTTCTTGACGAAACATCCTCTCAGGAAATATTTTTCGGTCTTGTTTAC